AAATGAAGAATGATGTGGATTTCCACGTTACGTTAAATTTATTTTTGAACTTATTTAACAAGAACAGCTTAATGAAAAGTGAATATTTCGAAAAGAAAAAGAGGGATGAGGATTTTTTAATTTCCGTAGGAATTATTTATAACTAAATCAAACCTAACATTAATTACACTTTAACAGCTTTAAATGTGATGTCTTACAGAAATATACTGGTATATTAAAATATTTTATTAATGTACTAACCTAAATTTATTCGGGGTACATTCATCAACAAATAAATTCAAAATTGTCAACGCAAAATAGAGTTCTTACGAGTCTCACGATGCCTGCCATCCTGTTTGCTGACGTATCGAGCACCGAAAAAGACGCTTGCAGTTTGCTTGCAGCATGCGACAGCAACCGGAAGTTGCCGAAGATTTTGAACAGGGATGGAGATGTGCTGGCATGTTGAGATTTTGAATACGCCTATTGTCAACGCCTGGTACTGTATGGGTATAGTACTGAATGTTGGAAATGTGGTTCTGTCCTGAATCCAGAAGCGCATCATCGTTGATGGTGCACTTTCAACATCGTATATAGCAGTGGCGTGCCGTAACGTTTGATGATAGGGAAGCTGTTTGTATGATAGCATTTCATACATTTTAATGCAGAATAACCAAGGAAATAGCGAAGTTGAGGCCGAAGTTTTAAACGCGAAAACGTGTACGTAGGACGTTCAACGCCTCTTTCCTGTAAGCCTAGAAGTTTGACAATGGTGTTTAGATAGTCAGTGGAATCATGTTCGACATTCCAAACGCCATTGTCAAACTTCTAGGCTTACAGGAAAGCGGCGCTGAACGTCCGACGTACACGTTTTAGCGTTTAAAACTTCGGCCTCAACCTCGCTAGTAACCACAGAAAAACTGTGCTTTAAACTTAAATCGAATAAGGTTGCCCGACGTACTATTCTGGTAACGTCTGTGAACCGTGGCATTGGACCAAAGTACAGTTGTCTTTTGACAGTCCGACGTTTTGTAATCCGAAATGCTCAGTAGTCCGACGCATCTCCCGTCAAGGCCACCGCAGTCCCCGTCCCCGTTACGTGTCTGCTTGCACAGAAGCATGTCGCTGTACATACTGTATGTACTGTACATTTCTTCCATATTTCTTTTAATAAGCATGTTTTATTTAACCGAAATGGGTGTTTCATTTCCATATTAACCTAGGCAGCATTTTACTCATAAAACGTAGGAATATTGTAGGCTACTGCTAGCGAAACAATTCCAAATATGTCATCACTTTCGGTAATCCGGGCACTTTCGGTAGTCCGACACCCCTTTGGTCCCATACCTGTCGGATTATCAAGGGACAATTGTACTTGCCCCACTCACTAGTTCGACAATGATAGCAGAATGAACCGAAAAACTTTGAGTGCGCAGTAGTCCTTGCGCGGGTTGTCCCAATGGTAGCCCGAGATACCCGAGATGGTTAAGATATAGTCCGTAATAGTATCCAATGGTACTTAATATTTACCCTGGTCTGTATCCTAGTGAGTATTGTCTGTCCGGTTGTATCCTTGATGGAATAATCCTGGGACGCCGTACTGTTCGCTTGTGATGTTGATGTACACTGTTACACACCGAAAGCTTCTTTGACATCCTGCCAGTAAGGTTTGCCTTGCATACGTGACAACCAAAAACCCAACCAGTGCCACAGCTGCACATTTGATTATGGAGCACTTATCACACTAAATAGCCACACACGATTTATAGTGTCACAACCACGAAAATGTTCTTCCAGCTGTTCAACAGTTGCTCCATGATCAACGTTTATAACAAAAAAACAGGGCCCATATTCTGGTCACTATCTTTAGTCTTTTGTCTCTCACAAGCCGGTCGCTGATTGGCTAAGCCAAATGATTAGCCAATCAGCGACCGGTCTGTGAGAGACGAGAGACCAGAATATGGCCCCAGATCTTCCGTCAATTTCTATTTTTTCTTCGAGTGATAAATAGTTATAGTCATTTGTTTCTGGAGGACTCAGTCATTTGAATATCAAGTTCACTTTGTATTTGTTTTAACTCTTCAGATTCTTTTTCTATCTTTTTTAATCTGGCTTTTATGGTTTCAAGTTCAGAATCTTCAGTATTCTGTTCTTCGCCCGAATCGTCAATGGCACGTTCTAGTAATACTTCGTTATGTTCATCGTTTTTTCTTGTTTCAATTTCTTCACCAAAAGAATCGGCTTCATCTGTGTCTGACATTTTGGTAGAATATTGCTTTTGTTCTCTTTTTTTAACTTATGACGCAGGTAAGAAATGCCAGATTACTTAAAACGTCGATGACAAAGCCCCACAATAAGGCAGAATAATCGTTCGAATAATAGTCCAGTTAATCCAGCACTAAGCACATTGTATTTAGACTCGGTTTTCTGTCAGCTGCAAAATCTGGCTTNTACAAAATTTAACTCCTATGGCTGCTCTCACGTGTTATCGATTTCTTTACGAAGAAGCACGCCCTATATCGTTCAGTAACTCTTTTCTCTAAGACGTCATTTACTATGCACCGAAAGAATTGAGGCTGAAACCCACGTTCATTTACCGAACTCGTCACGGTAAATACGAATTCAGTAAATAATTTACTAGGTGGCAAGCAGTTAAAACGTGCCAAAATTTTACATCGCTATGAAGTATGCAATTGTCAGGATTGTCAGAGTTAAGGCAACGCAACACATAGGCGATCTGCCAAGGGGTGCTTCCTAGAAAGACTTTCTTCGGGTTATGCCATCGAGAAAATCGTCATAAAATACACGAGTGAGACGTTGAATTTCGAAAGTGCACCATTTATAAATATGTCGTCTCTGATATATTTAGAAATTAAAGGCGTAAGAACTTTCGATATATTCAAGGGATACAAGGGATTTTTCAAAATTCCCCCCGCGGGGGAGAGGGACAGGATTCAGGCTTACCGTGAAGAACTCGGATTCTATTATACTATTTTAGATGCGGGTTTTTGCGTTTTTGATTGCGTTTTAATAGGATACGTCAAGAGAATGTACACTANATCTCTTTAATCTGGCTTTTATGGTTTCAAGTTCAGAATCTTCAGTATTCTGTTCTTCGCCCGAATCGTCAATGGCACGTTCTAGTAATGCTTCGTTATGTTCATCGTTCTTTCTTGTTTCAGTTTCTTCACTCTGTGACTGACATTTTGGTAGAATATTGTTTTTGTTTTTTTTTTTAACTTATGACGCAGATACGAAATGCCAGATTTCTTAAAACGTCGATGACAAAATCCCACAATAAGGCAGAAGATCGTTCGAATAATAGTCCAGTTAATCTAGCACTAAGCACATTGTGTTTAGACTCGGTTTTCTGTCAGTGCAATAATATGGCTGCTCTCACGTGTTATCGATTTCTTTACGAATAAGCACGCCCTATATCGTTCAGTAACTCTTTTCTCTAAGACGTCATTTACTATGCACCGAAAAAATTGAGGCTGAAATCCATGTTCATTTACCGAACTCGTCACGGTAAATACGAATAAATAATTTACTAGGTGGCAAGCAGTTAAAACTTGCCAAAAATTTTACATCGCTATGAAGTATGCAATTGTCAGGATTGTTAGGGATAAGGCAACGCAACACATGGACAATCTGCCAAGGGGTGCTTCCTTGAAAGACTTTCTTCGGGTTACGCCATCGAGAAAATCGTCATAAAATACACGAGCGAGACGTTGAATTTCGAAAGTGCATTATTTATAAATATGTCGTCTCTGAAATCTTTAGAAACTAAAGGCGTAAGTACTTTCGATATATTCAATGGATACAAGGGATTTTTCGAAATTCCTCCCGCGGGGGAGAGGGACAGGATTAAGGCTTACCGTGAAGAACTCGGCTTCTATTATACTATTTTAGATGCGGTTTTTTGCGTTTTTGATTGCGTTTTAATAGGATACGTCAAGAGAATATACACTAAGAAGGGATTTTTCGAAGTCCCCCCGTGGAGAAGTGTTATACGTGGAGAAGTGTTTATAATAGATACATTTTGAGCCACAGCAACGCTTGGCCGGGTCTCCTAGTTACATTAATAAAAGCAGATATTTTTGATTGTATGCGACACGTTCCGCCGTGGAGGGGTGACAACAAAGCACTTTCTATGGGAAACTGTTGCCTATTTAGGACCGCGGAGGGATGCCTCTAGAAAGGACTTCCTGTAGAAAACTGACCCCAATTTAGGTGCTACATGCGTGAAGAAAATCTGAAAAACTCTACTTGGCCAGCAGGTTGGGAGGCGCGAACCCACGGCCAACTACTGGTGTTCGTGGTTTAATCCACTCGATTATTGGTGGGTTAATTAATTAATGTTTAATGTCCAGTAAAACCTGTCTATGGCGACCATCCACGGTTCCTTCAAAAAGTGGTCTTTTAGACAGGTGGTCGTCCAATACAGGTGGTGCTTTAATATCGTATTTCCGTACGTATTTTGCGCACTTTTTAGCCATTTCTACTAAGCAAAACTCGAGACGAGCAAAAATAAGCAATTTTTTCAACGATAGGGCTATATTGGTACTGTATTTTATTCTTATCGGATAACTCGATTTACAGGAGTCGTCGTGATTTTATAAGACATTTAATATCAATATTTGAGGTTTAAGTCATTAACACCTGCACCTAATTTCGAGGGTGGGAGACGTGCCGAGGTGGGTTCGAACGAGAGTTTAAACTAATTCATTATATTAGGAGGGAGGGAAACGTTGTTGAACAATAGTTTAGACCAGATATATTCGCGGAAGTGGTCGCTTATTACAGCTGTTGTATGTTGTTTCGGACCAAAAATCGATGCCCGCGGTCGCATTACACAGGTACTCATTTAATACAGGTAACTTATACGAAGACTCTATGGATAAACTATTCGGTGCCAGAAATTTTTGCCCGTTTTGACAGGTGCCCGTCGAATGCAGGTGGTCGTCGCCTAAGCAGTTTTCACTGTACTTAATTTCATTAATAATTTTATTTTAAGGAATGTGAAATGAGAATATCTCAAGAGGAAAGATGCGGTATACAAAAAGATAGAAGTCAATATCAAGACTGGATAGCATATATGGCCGATGTCGCCATTTTGCCCCTTTGTAAAGAAGGAGATGCGCCAGGTAAGCTGGTTAAATTTTAAATTAATTTTGGATTTATTTACGTAAATAAGTTTTAAAACGAATTTTCAGGGCGGTGGGTCCTTCCGTGTAAAAAGTGCCACGTCAGAAAGACGTGTTATTGGCGTGAAGCAGTATGGCAACCTTACAATTGCCGACACGCTTTATTTTCAAGAACGTCCCTCTCCAAATGTTTGGCCAGAAAAAAGGTAAAATAATTGTGTAATTAAGAAATAATTAATGTAGATAATTCGGACGAGTAGTTGCCATGTTAAATATTTGTACAGCGGAATCCAGTACAACACGGGGGATACGTTCTTTGTTATAAGAAATCGCATTATCGAGACATACATTATCAGAGGATTTTATGCGAGTTTAAATCATAAGCTGAAGAAGAAAACGTTCACCTCTGAACGACAAAATTGAATTTTGTACGAGTTGTAGTCGCAAATTTCCATCGTGTTATATGAATTCGCGTTATACGGGAGTTCACTGTATTTAAATAATTATCACGGATTGGGAAAAGGGTAAGGTTGGATTACAAATATGGAGTCACATCTCTCTCCCAAGCCATAAAAAATTGGAGTACAATAAAACCCGTGTAAACCTTAATGGCACGTTATGAACAGCGGTTTTTTTAACACAGAAAATCGCTCTTTCCGAAGGATTTTTCCGTTTTGTACAGGTTTTACTGTATATACAGTGAAGAAAGAAGACAAAGACATTTTGAAAGAATTGCTATATCGATTAATATTACTAACCTTTCAAATATTTTCTTAAATTTAAGTTGTATAATATAAGGTTTGGTAACGTAGAAAGCCTAGAAAATGGTCCTGCTTGTCCTATTTTTTGATAGGCTACAAAATTTAACTCCTTGGATTTATTTAGGACGAACAGGATCAACTCTGGCTTCATTTCAATGTCCACTGAGATAGCGTGTAACAGCTAAGAAGCTTCTCAGATCCGTTAGTGCTTTATCTTGTTGAAACAGTATTTATCCCAGCTTCTTCCTGAAAAACAGACTTGGCAGGCCATAATAGCATTGAGTTTATAATTCGAACATCACTTAAATATTTGCAGAATATCGAGTAGATCATGCATAAAAATTCATAATCTGAAAGTACAAGAGTGCTACAGAGTCCGTGTGTATGCTAATTAGATGTTTACCGCTCTTTTCTCCACACAAATTTTAAATGCTTTATATTATGGACTTATTTCATGTAATTTATTAAAAAATTATCTCCTTTAATTGTAATAAATTACATCTTTTAACATAAAAATGGCCTAAAAATCCTTAAGTAGAGACTTCTTTAGGACTTTGGCCGTTATGAAGAGGAATGCTCACAATGCCCAAAGAGAATTATCACATATGAAGTCTAGACTTTGGGAACTTCTATAGAATTCATTGACAATATAATAAATATAATGGGTAGAGCCAGGATATAATATTATATCCTGGCTTTCCCCATTATATATATTTGCTGCCGTTGCTAATTTACGTTACTAAAAATACAGTGTTAATTATATAATTTATAACGAAGTGTTCGATAGAGTAAAACAATTTTTACAGCATTTTATACAGTCATAATAGTAAATTTGTAATCTACATGCCGTAAAAACGGGGTCTAACAGCGATTGTCTCAATTGTAATACGATTAGACCAATTTAATTATAATTCTGGTACATTTAAAATTAAATCGTTAATTCTAGAGATTAACGAAAGACAGACAGCCAGACGGGTCTGATAAGGACTTTATAATACCTCCAAAGCGCTGTTTTATGCAGCTCTCACTGAGACACTGATGAATTATATAGGCCTATATATTCTCTAAATTGATTTCTCATTCTTCTAGAAAACAAATCCTTAAATTTCTCTGCATCTCATTCTCGATATAGCGCCGAATAATTGTAAATTAAAGTTCTTGTACGAGTTGAAACGTATAAAATATTTAATGGTATATTATTTATTGATGCAGCTCCTCTTTATCGGAGACTCTACCAATCGTGGGATGATGCATTATTTAATGGAACGTGTTAATGGAAGTTTAATGGAATGGGATAAAACACACGACATTCGCATAGTATCTAATTTAAACGAAGGTAAAACATCAGTAGCATTCGCTTACTATCCCCAATTCTGGTTATCCAGCGATCAACGCCCGGTTTTCGATAAAGCTCTGTATCAATTGATTCAAAGGTAAACGTTCTCCATAACAATTTATTATCGTGTAGAATATAATTATGCATCTTAATATAACGATTATCCATAGATCTCGGCCTCTGGATAACACTAGCGATACTATATTGATAGTCGGAGGAGTGCAATGGCTGGCCACTCAACATTTATTGATGCTTCTTCGAGTTCTAAAAGTGTAAATGTTAATTTTTTCCGTTTATTTTATAAATATTCCATATAAATAATTAAATCTTGATTTATTTATTTGTTTAAAGTGAAAAATTAAACGGTATTCAACTAGTGTTGAAGACGTTAGGATCCGGTTTTCATCAAGCGGTGGATGGTGTTCATAGCTTGTCGGTGGTAAGGAGTAATTACGTTTAAATTTATTTTAATTTATAATTTAAACCTGTGCGGTGTTTAAATAATAATGACTTTTAAGTTGAATAACATAACAGTTATTATGATTTACTCAATACTTTATCTTATAAATATATAAAATCAAGCTCATAGTCAATCAATTCTAATTTGGCCCCCTTTATAACGAAATTATGGACCAAATTAAAGGTGCAAATCTATATTTACCCCTGTAGCACTGTGTATTTAACCTCTGGTGCTACAGAGACTCTTAGATGTTATTTATATATATATTTATACGTAGGCCTACTGTTCAGTAGGTTATACATGTGTACACATAACATTCCATCCCCCTAATTACGATTTCATTTATTTCTTTCTGTGTCGAGATGCACCCTCAACTTTTTCTGGCATCGAGAAGGCCCCTTTCTGGGTGTTTTAACGTGGTAATCATGTTTTTGGTCAGAGCTGCCGAAAATTATAGAGGGCCCGAAATATCCTAGGGCCAGACTACTGAAAAAATCTTACAAAGAACCAACTTCAATAGGATCGTGCAATAGATAGCGTGTCATTCACCAAGATTTGATAGGAGGCCCTTTTAATGCTTTCTCTACGCTCTTAATGCCTCGAAAGGAGGCCTTCGATTTTTCGATTGAGAAATGTATGATTCCGAGAGGATTCATATTAAAAAAAAAATCAAATTTTACGGATTTCAAATTGTATATTTACATAAAATGAAATGTGTTTCTTATTCGAAGCGTTAGAAACAATAGAAAATTCATTTTAAAGCCTAAAAAACAATTATTTTCTTCTATAATCGCGGGTTCTTATCGGAGATCCGACAAAAATGAGAAAGTTAACGAAAGAAATAATTGCTTTTTAAGTGAATGACACTGCATGGATTTGTATATATATCTTTCATACAGGCTGATAGTTCAGATGGGCTCGAGTCAGTCACGAATGTGGGGCCTCACCCCCTCCGAAAGCCATAAAACACGTGAATTAAATCAATAAAACAAATAACAACAGACTTTTTTATCACTTATAAATCAAAATTTCTTTTGATATCACTTTTATGTCACGTGTTCTACGTAAAAAAAAGACCAAATTCTATGGGCCCTTTGTTAATTTTATCTTTACAATCACTCACATATACAGGTAACCTGAATGATATCTACATGTAGGTCTGTTTTTTGTGTAATTTAAATCAGGTCTTTTTCATTTATTATTACTTGGTAGACGAAGAGGCCTCATATGTTATAGCTCAGAGCCATAACAAACCTGCCTGGCCCTGTAAATGAATCACATTTTCGACGTCTAGAACCATAGGAGTAGTGTTGATCTTTATTCTTTTACATGAGATTAGCTAGGAGGGACGACCTCGAGTTACTTTGATGGTGTGAATTCACATTCATGTGAAGGTGTGAGTTTGAAAGGAGGCCTTCTTAATGCCTTCTTAACGCTCTTAGACAGCTTAATGCTTTGAAAGGAGGCCCCATACAGATCTAAGTGTGTGATTAGTTGAAAGTCTGGATGCATTCTTTCTCCTTACTCAACATGCTTCAGGATAAACAAAGATCAAGTTAGCTTCTATGGTTCCAGACTTATGGGGCACCCTAAACACTATCCAAACATAATAAATAGAAATTCACAGCCAACATTTACTTTATACCATTAAAATGCTACCTCTGTCATACCTCTTACGCCATAGTTCTTGACATTTTATACCCGATATAACGCATTGATCATGATACACGTTTGCTATGCCAAACAATCCTCGTGTTACAATTAAATATTCTATTGATAGAAGCTGTCTACTCATAAAATTATAACATGAAACTTATCCTAACAAATACTAATAATGATTAATGCGGTAGATCTGATAAGAATTTGTTTATGTAGTCCTAATTTTAAATTAATAATTCGACTTTTAAACCTTCTATTAATTAATATTTAGCAAGTGTAACATTAATTAAATTTAATAAATAAATCATAAATGGATAAATTTTCAGAGAAATCTTTAAAAATAAAAGTTAACTCATTAAATTTTGTAGAACGAGCATCAAAAATTGCTCCAACATAATCTAGGAATGGCGAATTTTGCCAAACATTACGGATTTGAAGTCATCGACACTTTCAATATAACAGTAGCACGTTATAAGGATTTCCTTCAAGGAAAATGTGCATGCCATTTTCACAGGGTACCAATTACTTATTCATCTATACATATAAATATATACATAAAAAAGGGTGGCCCAAATGTCAGTTAAAAGCGCCAATCTCTGGAGCAAACTCTCAAAGGATTATCATTTGATTTGTTAAAGCCAGTGGCGCGTGGGGCCCATCATCTACAACGGAAATATTTTCTTATAAATGACTTGGGGCCTCCTATTGGTGGGGGATACCAGCAAATTTCCCTTTTTGCCCCTTTAGTATAACGCTCTATTGGTATAGTTTGAATGGACGATGTAGCTTTACTCTTTGTAATGATTAACGGATTTTTGGGCCACCCCGCGACGTATTATTACTTGAAATTTAATTGAAAAATCCTTAATATACGACGTTACTACAGGTAATCAAAGTTCCTTATCCAGAATCAATATGGAAGAAGCATCAGTCGAAGTCACGTCCTAGTCCAAGATACCACGTGGAAGGATCAATCAATGCAATTTACAGCGAGATCCTATTGAGTCGTATATGTAAGGACTACATTTCTGACGTCAGCTGATTGGCCCTTAACTATTTTATCCGTGTTTATCCGCTTAAATATTGTATATAATGTAAAACTTTGTATTTATTATATTGTGCCTTCGACAGACATTCAGTTATTTGCATGAAGATAAATTAAGATTTCCATTAAATTCGGCGGAAAATTACGTTTCTATTTGCATATTTACAAAATATAATTTGAAAATAATATTTTCCAGAGCAATAAAACGGAAAAAAAATCTATACGTATTTTTGTTTTGTATTAATGTAGAATAGTGTAAAATCTACGAGAAAATGTAAATGATGATGTCTTTTTATGTAAAAAAAAAATGGAGGGAACATAAAAATAAAATGATATAAACTATTAAAAACGTGTCGTGTCGGGGTAGTTGCATTCTTTTATGTGTTTGGAGGATGGGCATGATGTTGTGTCAAGTAGGTATTTGTTAGAAATCGGCAAACTGTCATTCCAACATGGCGATATTATCTACAAGATGCTTCTATCAATGTGTCGGAAACGTTGACAAAACTGATCGAAACATTATCGAGCGTTAACGTGCGGATTACCAAGAATTTAAAGATTAGAAAAGAAAACTACAAGTTCAAATTTTATCGTTAAAAAAAATTCTAGTTTGTAAAGAGCAAACTTGCAGCTTTATGTTTGCTTGTATGTACTGTACAGTACGTATGTATATATGTGCAATACTACACGTAGGTGGGTAATCAATCGAAAGGTTTGTCTACTGGGTTGCATAGGATTCGCTTTCTCGGGAAAACTGGCTCCTATTTAGGTGCTATTATGGAAAACTGTCCTCTGTTTGGATGTTCAAAATGTGAAGAAAACCCAGAAAACTTCAAATGGCTAGCATGTTGGCGAGGTGTGAACCCACGACTAACTACCAGTGTTAAGTGGTTTTATCCACCCGGCCACTGGTAGGCCGTTTGCAGTTTTAATCTGCACGGATATATGAAGGTTAAAGGTACAAACTTTCAGCTTCAATCTGCATCAATTGATTCTGATACTTTGTCTGCGAGAATGTTTTGTAGTGGATATTACAAATACAAATCATCATCATCATCATCAATTGATTTAGATAAAAACTGTACTTATTCTATTCCATTAAAAAAATTTTTTTTTTAATTTATAAATTTTAGATTTTGCACTCCTGTGAATCATCATCATCATCAATAAAATAACAGTTACAAGTTTCCATTTACTTGTAATTTATTTTTAATTATTTTGTAGGCTTGTAATAGTTTATAAATCTTACTTTTCTAGATTTTATAATGAATATTTCATACATTTTTCTGAATTATAACATATTTGCTACAAACTCCTACATCAAAGCATCACTATTAATAGAGTAGGTGCAAACTAAAGCTGCAAATTTGAACTTATTTACTCTGTTTTGTTAAAAGTTATTTTAGTAATTTATACAAATTAGTTTTTGAATTTTATAATTTAAAACAAAATTTTTGTTTTTATTTATTTATTTATTTATAATTACATTAATTTATGCTCTTTGTAAATTATTTTCTACATAAATGTTTCTTAATTATGTTTGTTAATAAAACATATTTAAATATTAATGATAATTCTTCTTTAGATTAGTAAAAGAATTAAGTAATAGTAATAGTAAACATGTGTTTACTGTTTCCTATTATTTGTTCCTGTGTTTCTATGTTTACTAATTCTACGTTAATATGTTTCCTATGTTCCTATGCTTACTATATATACTACGTTAATGTGTTAATATAGTTAATTTTGGAAACATAGTAAACAGACTTTTAAACACTACGAACTAAACGAACAACTTGTATATTACTGTTACACATTTAACAATTATGCAAATATATATAATTATTTAATTGGCAATTTCCGATAAATTTAGAAGAATGATTCTTCAAAAAAATGAATAACTTACTTTAAAATATTCATTAAAAAGTACTTTAAAGCCTTGTTGACGTTATAACGTTTACAGAAAATATATAAATAACAGAACATCTTACGTATAAAGTATTATTTAAAATCAATATTTAATATATATTTTTCTATCGATTAAGTTGATTCCTCGAACTCAAACAAAGAGAAAAAGTTTAAATAAACATAATAAAAAATTAACAATAGTAATGATTTCATGTTATCAGTCTTAACCACTGCTTTGTTTTAATGATTATTTACTTACAACAGTTTAAAATGTTGGAATTACACTAGATGTTGTTGAAGTTGGTAGCAGATAAACATTATTATTAATAAAATAAATCATCCAGTAATAAGTATTCAAATNAAAATTGACTTTAATATTTTCTTAGACAAATACAATTTTAACAGTGGAATAATTCGATTAAATTCTTTGAAAGTTATCTTGTATCTCTTCCATCCCTTAACTGTTTGAATTTCAATGAGGTGCGGATAATCCCGTGGATGGCTGTGGATGTCTTGAATTATTGATCAGATCTTCATCCTCCTGATCCCACACCAGTCAAAATAAACGCGAGATGATCCCATTTTCGTCAATCGAACGACACATCATATTTATTTATTTTTCTTTAAATTGACGATAGAAAAAATTCTTTCCTTCTTCTTTAGAAAAGACATTTTAGTTTAGTAACTCATCCTTCTCCCGTACAATAGGATTGTTCTTTTATTACTAAAATCCCTTCCGAGTTAATCCTCTATATGAAAATTTTCTTTGATTTCTAACAATGGATTGATTTATTCGAAAATCTCGATGACAATGAGAAAATCCTATTTAGTAAGAAATAATTCATCCTTACGGGGATAACAATAAATTGTGGATTTGAGTTGAAAGTTATTAGTTACTTTATGAAAGATATATCCACTTTTCTATTGTGTTTTTATTAAAATATATCGTCTTCCGTGCATTGAATATAAGATATTAATTTATAAAAATATTTACGTCTTATACAGTGAAACCTCTTTAGAAGATTACCTTTGCTCGGAACCACTGGCCGCACAGTAGAGGTTTTACTGTATTAATTAATGCATGGATGAGAGCAGCAAAGATGAGGATGTTGAGATGGATGCGGAGTTTCAGAGATAGAAATATGTGGAAAATACAGGAATATGACATTAGAGGAAAGGAATGGATGAAAGAAAGGATAACCTGGAAGATGCTGGATAAACTGACTACTTCACATAATAAAATAATTTAAATAATTTCTATTTAATCGAAATTAAATAGATATAATCCGGAACCTACAGGACCAGCGCTCACTATTTTTTTTAAATTAATATTTAATTTAAATCTTTAATGAGAATATCAAAGATATTTAAACTAAGCTACTCATACCTGGTCTGGATTTTAGTAGGCTTTCGCCCCTGTACATCATACTTCTCCCCATAACAATCGAGTCGTACGGTATTTAATTCCGTTCTCTAGATTAACGAACAGACATACAACCGAACGGACGACAGCATGAATGCATGTCTGAAATTTGGAAATTGCAGACCTCTACAGTTACCATTGTCGTCAGTCCATCCGCCTGTCTGTCCTTCGTTGACCGGAAAGACTCAATTGTTATCAGGAGAAGTACGATGTACAGGGGCAAGACATCGCTAACATTAAAAATTGCTGAAATATTCTGGAGGAGAATAGTTTTCACTCTTGCTAATCCGGTATATCCCCTCCCTTATATATTTCTTGTTTACACGATGTTACTCATGTCACATTTCTTGTTTTACCGTCCACTCGGTAATCCGGCACCCCTCAGTGCAAAAAGATTACCGGATTAGCCAGAGTCTAGTATACACTGATTCTGTATTAATTTTATGCGCGAGAAATACGTTTAAGATACGTCGAAGAACTGTTATTGTTTATACGGAGAATTTACAGAGCATTTAAGCTCATAATTTTTATTGTAGTCTAAGTAAACTTCGTGATAAACAAATACGAATCGTACATCAGCGTGCGTTAATATGATACAAACGGTGTACAGAAATTTAATCATGTATATTTGTTTCGTTAATTCGAGTATTAATCAACAGATGGAGACACTACATATAATAGTAGCGCTTACTAGTGTCGCCATCTCTGTATTGATATTTGAACTATTAGTAAATATAACAGTAAATTGTATTTTAGAATAACAAAGTTTGATTGACTTACATTAAATGATTTTAAAATAAATTTATAAAACTCCACGTTTCTTCATTGTAAAGTTTAATATTTATTACATCGTATTTTAATCGTGAATAACGGAAATTTTTCCAAAATACTGTAATGTCTCGTTTTATGGGGTGGATACGTTCTACAGAAAAGCGCATAAAAAAAATTCGCATAAAAAAAGACTACTTGCCTTGAAAAAGTAGGGATACGTTCCGTAATTTTCTAAAATCGCATAAAACCAAAACAACGAGTTAAAATTAACTTAAAACCGCATAAAAAAGTTTGCAGATATTAAAAGAAATAGGCTGCTTAATAAATTACTTCGAATGTCTGAAAGAAATTCATATAAAAGCTTAAAATAAACTTGTATTCAAACTTAATTCAGTTAATTTTATTGAAAAGTAATATAGTTTTACATTTTTTTTTTTGAATTTTTGGAATGTTTTTTAAGTCTCCAAATTTTTTAAAAATATTAAAAAATATACGGCCAGCTTCACCCTACTTTAAACCCTTGTCCTCCCGCGACGTTTATGAGAATGCCCCGGGAAATCCAACTCCAGCTGTGTTCAAGGTCATCCAGATCTATAAACTGACTCATCGGTGTTAAATTTCACAGAAGGGGGAGACAAAGGAAGTTAAACTTTGAAGCTTTTTCTTCAAAATTAACGCATTTCTTTCGTTTTTTTTAGTTTTAAGTATTTTTAATGTTTAATTACATTTATATCAAAAATTGCTAGGAACTAAAGCGATTAAGGTAGATCTAGCTATTCTTTACATCCATAAAGGTTTTATGTCAGTGGAACAAATGGAGTGAGCTTTGAGCGTCCCACGATTTTTGGAGACTGTCTATACGCGGGCTTCCTAAACAAGCCTATATGTATGTTTGTCCAAAAAAAATTTGGATGAAATACAAACCGCACAACTTCAAAATTGCATTAAAAAAATCCGCATAAAACGAGACCTTACAGTACACCATAAGCAATGGTTAAATATTCTGCAAATTTAATTAGAAGTAATAAGCTTTTTAAAAAGTAGTAAAATGTGTTTTTTTAATAGTTCATTCCATTCCGTACGCACTGATAGGATCTTTTCGTACAGTGGTATCTCGTACTTCGAACGTTCCGGAGTTCAAACGCTAAATTCGCTTCGGTGTTGGAACGACGCTTGTAAGTTCGCACTTCCTGCGCAGTGAAAAAATGCGCTCGCTGCGTAAATGCTCATAATGGAATTGCCTAGATGGCGAGGGACAAGAACCAAGATTTTC